TGTCACGCCCTTACGCCCTTCCTCACGCCCTCTCTCCCTCCCTCTCTCCTTCCCTCCCTCACGCCCTCCCTCACGCCCTTCGTAATTGAATTGAAGCTCATCTGGAGAGAGAATGTCTTATCGCGTTACACGGATTCTCTATTCAACGCGAGGGCGCGGGCGGGTGGGGAGGGGGGGGGAGGAGGAGGAGGGGGTGAGGAGGAGGAGGAGGAGGAGGAGGAGGAGGAGGAGGAGGAGGAGGAGGAGGAGGAGGAGGAGGAGGAGGAGGAGGAGGAGGAGGAGGAGGAGGAGGAGGAGGAGGAGGAGGAGGAGGAGGAGGAGGAGGAGGAGGAGGAGGAGGAGGAGGAGGAGGAGGAGGAGGAGGAGGAGGAGGAGGAGGAGGAGGAGGAGGAGGAGGAGGAGGAGGAGGAGGAGGAGGAGGAGGAGGAGGAGGAGGAGGAGGAGGAGGAGGAGGAGGAGGAGGAGGAGGAGGAGGAGGAGGAGGAGGAGGAGGAGGAGGAGGAGGAGGAGGAGGAGGAGGAGGAGGAGGAGGAGGAGGAGGAGGAGGAGGAGGAGGAGGAGGAGGAGGAGGAGGAGGAGGAGGAGGAGGAGGAGGAGGAGGAGGAGGAGGAGGAGGAGGAGGAGGAGGAGGAGGAGGAGGAGGAGGAGGAGGAGGAGGAGGAGGAGGAGGAGGAGGAGGAGGAGGAGGAGGAGGAGGAGGAGGAGGAGGAGGAGGAGGAGGAGGAGGAGGAGGAGGAGGAGGAGGAGGAGGAGGAGGAGGAGGAGGAGGAGGAGGAGGAGGAGGAGGAGGAGGAGGAGGAGGAGGAGGAGGAGGAGGAGGAGGAGGAGGAGGAGGAGGAGGAGGAGGAGGAGGAGGAGGAGGAGGAGGAGGAGGAGGAGGAGGAGGAGGAGGAGGAGGAGGAGGAGGAGGAGGAGGAGGAGGAGGAGGAGGAGGAGGAGGAGGAGGAGGAGGAGGAGGAGGAGGAGGAGGAGGAGGAGGAGGAGGAGGAGGAGGAGGAGGAGGAGGAGGAGGAGGAGGAGGAGGAGGAGGAGGAGGAGGAGGAGGAGGAGGAGGAGGAGGAGGAGGAGGAGGAGGAGGAGGAGGAGGAGGAGGAGGAGGAGGAGGAGGAGGAGGAGGAGGAGGAGGAGGAGGAGGAGGAGGAGTGAATCAAACCAAGAGTAATAAACGGTTTTCTTTTTTCTATTATTCCTTAAAAAAAGAGATGGGATCGTTTACTAGTCATGTGATTTATTAACGTACCTATAAAAAAATGAAAGGAAACAAAAAATAAAAAGTAAATGAATTTTTTAAAGAGGATTTTCGCTTGTTTGTTCAGCAGGACCGAAATTCCGCCATAAAATTAATCTCTTAACCTTTGGCTATTTTTGGCGGGAAATTTGAAAGCTGAAAGTCTTGATGAGAAACGACTGTTGTCATTGTTTCGTGGTTTTAACACTACGTTAGTTTGAATTTTAAACTTTATTTATATATTTAGAAGTAGAAGTAGTAGTGTAGTAGTGGTAGTTGCAGTTGCAGTTGTAGTTGTATTTGCAGTTGTAGTTGTGGTTGTAGTTGTAGTGGTAGTAGTAATAGTAGTAGTAGTAATAATAATAATAAATGGAAACAAATTAATAATAAAATTATAGTAAGACCAATAATAATAATAATAATAATAATAATAATAATAATAATAATAATAATGATAATAACAATAATGATAATAATAACGTCCATCATCACCATAGCTATTACCATCACGGTTACCTCCTTCTTCCTCTATTTCTCCTCTATCTCCTCCTCCTCTTCCTCCTCCTCCTTCCACCCACATCCATTTCCCTCTCCACACTCAGTTCGACTCCATTTCCCCCCTCTTCAGCAACAGTGAGCAGAGCAGAAAAAAATCTAGACGTCTTTTCCTTCTTTCAGGATTTCCCAGTAGCCATCTTGGGGGATTTATACTGTATGTATGTATGTGTGTGTGTGTGTGTGTGTGTGTGTGTATGTGTGTGTGTGTGTGTGTGTATGTGTGTGTGTGTGTGTGTGTGTGTGTGTGTGTGTGTGTGTGTGTGTGTGTGTGTGTGTGTGTGTGTGTGTGTGTGTGTGTGTATGTATGTGTGTGTGTGTGTGTGTGTGTGTGTGTGTGTGTGTGTGTGTGTGTGTGTGTGTGTGTATGTATGTATGTATGTATGTATGTATGTATGTATGTATGTATGTGTGTGTGTGTGTGTGTGTGTGTGTATGTATCTGTGTGTGTCACACACCTCCCCGGGCACATGCAAGCAAACCGCATGCAACAAAGCAACGAATCTCAACAAATCGAATTCATGCATATTCAGATGAGATTCTAATTCTATTTAGGGTTTCGCCTGCAACTGCAAAAGCAATAGTAATAGCAACATCCCCAACAGATCAAGAGCAACACCTACTTCCATATCAACATCAATAACACCAGTCATGCAATCACATCAACATTAATATTGGCATCAATATCAATCCAATACAAATGTTAACATCCGTTGAAATCATTACCAATATCAGCACAATGCGAGCGCTGACACCATCATCAATATCAACATGAACATCAATACCATTAACAACATTGCAACATTGTCAACATCACTATCAACTTCACTATCTACATTATTATCAACTTCACTTATCAATTTCACTATCAATATCACTATCAACATCACTCTCACCATTACTATCAACTTCACTATTAACTTCATTATCGACATCACATCAACTTCACTATCAAGATAACTGTCAACATCACTATCAACGTCACTCTCACCATCCCTATCAACATCCCCATCAACTTCACTATCAACACAAAAAACAACAACAGCAACACACTACCAACATTACCCTTACCAGCAACACCATCATCATTAACAAAAACAACATCAATTTAACAAAAACAACATCAATAGCATCGACTTTGCACAGGGCGTCACTGCTTACTCCATACCGCAATATACATCCTTTACATTGTTACATCACGCATATTTATGAGTGGCTGTAGCATGCGTGTCCTTGCGTGAGTGAGCGTGTCTGTTACGATTATGTTATTAAAGGACGTATTTATGATTAGCTGCATAGTATTACCGGCGACTGAATTCTTCAGATGACGAGTCAATTAAATTGCGACGGAAATGTATGGGGAGAGAGAGGGGTGAAGGGAGGGAGGGAGAGAGGGAGGGAGGGAGGGAGAGAGAGAGGGGGAGGGGAGGGGGAGGGAGGGAGAGGGAGAGGGAGAGAGAGAGAGAGAGAGAGAGAGAGAGAGAGAGAGAGAGAGAGAGAGAGAGAGAGAGAGAGAGAGAGAGGGAGAGGGAGAGGGAGAGGGAGAGGGAGAGGGAGAGGGAGAGGGAGAGGGGGAGGGAGGGAGGGAGGGAGAGAGAGAGAGGGGGAGAGGGAGAGGGAGAGGGAGAGGGAGAGGGAGGGAGGGAGGAGAGAGAGAGAGAGAGAGAGAGAGAGAGAGAGAGAGAGAGAGAGAGAGAGAGAGAGAGAGAGAGAGAGAGAGAGAGAGAGAGATAGAGAACTTAGAGAGGGAGAAAAATTAAAGAGAGAAAGAGAGATAGAGAGTAAGAGAGAGGGAGGGAGAGAGAGAGAGGGAGGGAGGAGATAACAAACATAAGTGAAAGAAACAGAGGAACAGAAAGAGAGAAATACACAAAAAGAACAAAACAAAGAAAGAACCACAGAGAGAGAAAGACAGAAAATACACACAAAAAAGAAAGAGGGAGAAAGAAGCAGAAAGACAGAGATAGAAGGCAAACGAAAGTAAGAGAGAGGGAGGTGAGTGGGAAAGCACATTCCCACATGTTCAAGTCTGTAACGAACTATGCACGGCTGTCTGATTCCCCTGAGCGTTCATTTAGACCAATAATCCCAGCACATGAACGCTAATACCCCCAGGGCGTAACGAACGGCACGAAACATTATGGAAAGTTAAAGAGAATGTCTGATTTCCATTCGCTAATCATAAAAAAGAGAAAATGTCGCTATGCTTTCTAATGTCATGCATACATACAAAGGAAACTTTATTATTTTCAACATATGAAATCATATTTTTTATGTATTAAAAGTAACCGTGGTGTCCAACGGATGTAACAACAACAGTATTTTTTTGAAAATATTACACCGATGGTAACTCAGTACAATTACGAAATGAATCGTATATACGAAATGATATGCATAATTACGAAATATTTTGTACATACATATATGGAGAAATGATAAATAATTTTACATATTTATGCAAATATTTGTCTTATACCACTCGATCTTTTAAAAAACAACACGTGTACTCTAATAAAAAAAATCCGTTGCATTAACATTATTATATCGTTTGGTACACAATCATAAAAAAATAAAATGATAAATTAAATACAAACCTTACAAACCAAGGTCTTCTTTGACTGAGAGGAAAATCATATATAAAATCTCTTCGATAATGATAATAACGAGAAAGAGAGAAAAACGAACTTCTCACAGCCTTTTAAGGATGGCTGACGACTCCCACGGTCGCTCGAGAGAGAGAGAGAGAGAGAGAGAGAGAGAGAGAGAGAGAGAGAGAGAGAGAGAGAGAGAGAGAGAGAGAGAGAGAGAGAGAGAGAGAAAGAAAGAAAGAAAGAAAGAAAGACAGGCAGGAAGGCAGGCAGACAGGCAGGCTGACAGAAAGACAGACAGACAGACAGACAGACAGACAGACAGGCAGACAGACAGGCAGACAGACAGACAGAGAGCAAGAGGCAAAAGAGAGCGCGCGCATTCATCCTTCGTTTAATAAGAGTCCGTCCACCTTGATCCTTAGAAACAACGGCGCTCGTCTCGCGTTCCATCAGGAGAAGTGGTCAATTTACTCCCTGGTCTGCCATTAGCACCTTCCAGACACTTTCCCGGGACACATACCCACCCCCCACCCACCTCGCCTCCAATCCAAGCCAAACCCCACGTCATACCTCCTCATCTCTCCCCCCCCCACCCCCATTCCCCATTTCCCCTACCTCGTCCTGACCCACCCACCCACCCACCTGACTCACCCACCCACCAACCTGACCCACCAGCCCGGGCCCACCCATTCCCCATCCGGGCACGTCATCTCCGTGTTATGGCCGCCTGTGCTGTCATCACCTCCTACTTAAACACGCTCTCGCGCAATCTCGCTGCCGCCGCCGGTCCCGCGAGAAAGCGCGAGACCTTGTTAACTAATACACAGCGGGGAGCTTCATTTCCGAGTAATTCGCTTTAGTTTCTTCGTGTATAATTATTTATTTAATTGCTATACTTATACAGATGGAAAAGAAAAGTTCATTTTGTAAACACCGATAAACAAAGACACAAATATCAATATATTAGTATATATCCATCTCTCTCTCTCTCTCTCTCTCTCTCTCTCTCTCTCTCTCTCTCTCTCTCTCTCTCCCTCTCCCCTCTCCCTCTCCCTCTCCCTCTCCCTCTCCCTCT